GTCAGCGATGCGTTCAACTGAGATGGCGTCAGTCGCTCCTCTGAATTAGTCATCTCCAGAAACAAGACAAACTTGGAGAAAATTTTGCATGATCTGAAAAAGCCAAAACAAGGTTTTTTGTTGTTTCATTACTAGGCGACAGTGATGGATCCCCAAAAAGATAATGTCACCTCTGATCAGGTTTAAGAAATTTTCAGGTGATTTTGAAGATATTCGCATAGAGAAGACGTGGTAACGATAAATGCAACTTCCCATACCAACAAAAAAATCTCATCTCGATTCTACCATTTCCAGCGATTATCTGTTTTCAGTTAGTGCTAGAAATATGCCGCTGGTGGAATCGGAGAAAGGGCAGATAGTTGCAAAAGTAAGCAAGGGTGTTCAGAAATTCAGGTCGGAATCCCTAGTATTTTGGAATATCTTACACAGACCAGACGTCCTTCTTTACTTTTCCACTGACATAAGATATCGCACTATAAAAAAATCTGGTTCCACTAAGTGAGACCAGGAAATGAAAACGTCTTCAATATTAGTGTTCCAAGAGCACTATTTTTGAAGTGTGATAAAGAAGCTACCCGCGGTCAAGTAATGCGTGGAATTAGTCAAGCAAGGGTGAACTTTGGCCTTCTGGACATACGCCAAAAGTATTTGTTGAGTCATCAGAATTTCAAGAAGTTTCAGTTTATGCTCCGTCCTCAAGTTAAAGTGGCTGAATTAGATTTCTACTCATAATGCGGTATCTTGTTTTGGTCGAGGAAAGAGGGAGGCTGTCCAGGGTTCTCTCAAGTTTCATAATATGCACGACTGCTGAAGAATTTCTGAAATTGCTGAAAGTTTGGCCGCTTTGTGGACCGGACTATCCTTGCTCATTTTTAACATTTTTTTCGAACAACGAGGCTAGTTTTCTTTTCCATTCACACAAAAACATAGACATCATAATAACGAGTGATTTTTACCGAACAGAAATGAAGAACGAGTGAAAAACATGTGATGGTTTCATTGCTGTGTGAAATCAACTGTGACTGTTGATTTCACACAGCAATGAAACCATCACATGTTTGACTAGTGACTGTTTTCAAAAGTGAAGGGCAAAGTGAAGAGAATCTTTTTTGTTTTCGATATAAAGAAAAAGATACCAACACATTCTCAGTTTTTCAAGAGTTCCAGAGGTGGCATGATTCCAGAATTTCTCGAAGACTCTTAGCTCACTCGCGACAACGCGTGCTGTTTTGCATGGAAACAGCTCGTTTGGATGACCACTGACAAGCTCTTCGAAAGCTGCCGATAGACACGGCTTTGAACCCTTTTGAAAATGTTTGTTATCCTCCTAGCTGCAAACTTGTCCGTAAAGGTCGTGCAGAGCCATTATCACTACTGCCATATTTAGGGCACCGGCGCTAGCAGTCGACGGAAGGCACCATTTTGACGTAACTTTTTTTCACTGGAATTGACTTAAGCATGCACATTTGCGTCATTTGAGGTCCTGACAGCAAATAGCATCCAATGTTAACGCCGGCGTCATTTGGTGCCAGAATGAAGTCAGCGTCAGAATGGAACCACGACTTTTGCTCTGAAATTCGTAACAAACTTGGGGTTATTTGGGGATCTCATCGTGACTCTGACATACATTTCGAAATGCGTATTCCAAGGCTTTGCTAAGGCCGAGCGAGAGAGCAAGAAGAAATGCCTCTTCCCAGGCCATCATTAGTTGGGGATTTGGTCACTTCCATACGAGGCCCCCGAGGTGGCTTGGTATGACCCCCACTAGGTAAATATATTGAGCACCTAAAACGAGAAAAGCCTAAAAGAGAAAAGGGAAATTACAACATTTCCCCAAATTCTCACCATTCGAAACTCTCCAGAAAGTTGCTGGGGAGTCCCAATGATGTTGTGCCCTCTCCCAGGTTCAGCTGAGCATAGGACAAACGAATAATGCTCCGTGTTGACTTCGGGGACCAATGTTCGGGATAAGTGCTTAACTGCTCAATGATCGGGGCCCGGCAACTCCAAGTAAATGCAAGAATCATCGGTTTTGGCGGATAAAAATTGGAGTCACACTAAATTATGAGAGTTGGCGCCTAAAAATGAGGCCAGCAAAAATGCTGTACTTGTGGAAAACACCAGCGCTCAAGAAGCACAGCATCCTGTGTTGGAGGAAACGGTAGTGCAAGACACGCATGAGCAGCGTTTAGGCCTCGAGCAAGGAAAGGTCATCATATTCATAGATCAAAGGCACAAGCAGTTGGCTCTGTAAAAAAAGGTTACTAATGGAAAAGCAAATCCCGAAATTCTGTGTAATTATATCTTAAAATACTGTGACTTTTTATGAATGATGAATTCTAATCGAATATAATTTCATCAACCCATCATTTGTGCAGCTCAGAAAGCTATGAGAGCTTGTTTCTTTGCGATTCGGTAGGCTGGATATTTTTTCTGAAAATCTGTAGAAAGCGTGAAGGACATGGTCCCAGCTGGAACCTTGGTGTCCACTCTCAGTGGCGAACTTGCCACGTTAGCCAGCCGCTTACATTCTCGAGCACCTCGGAATTCCAGCACAACCAAAGTGGAAAGTTTGCATAGTTTACGATACCAATACTTAATTATATATCCTTAATATTAGTGTTTGGGGCGCGAAGCTGGCGCAATGCGTCGGTGTATTGACATGCGTAAGAGAATAACGAAAATTCCTGAATACACTGACTACGCTGTCTTGAACCGTAAAGTTTTCTGTTGCTCTCGACAAAAGTGGTTTACCATTTCGATAGAATCTCAGTGAACGAACATCCCATTTCAAGGACTTATTCGCAGCGGCTACGTTCGCATGGCCTCGTGTGCACGTCGTTAGCTCCTGCGAACATGTCTAGTATAGAAACTGTTTCGTACACTGTCTTGATCATGACGTCATGATTCTGAAATTAAATTTAGGAAGTCTCATCTAAGATGCAAGGAATTCCGCAACGAACTATTATAGTTCGATTCCAAGAATCCACACAACCTGCATGAGTATAGCATATCCCCAGCCTTCATACTCCATCACTGCTTTCATACATTCGTAATGTGCGCGAGTTCCATTAATTCCATGTCTTTCGACGACAAAACGCTCTAAAAAATTGGTACTAACAAAAAAATCAGTGTCACTCGTATCCAGAAAAGTTTCTAAGTAACGGTCCGCAGTGGACAATCTCGTTCCAGTTTCACGTCCAAAAGTTGTAATGTAATTAGTTAGGGCGCAAAGTTATCCCAATGCCACCACGCCTTTTCCTGTGACTCTGCCTCCAGACTGCGCCCTCGAAACCCGCTTTCTAACCAAAAGTGATGCTACCGGAACAAGTAGCATAAAATGAATGCTTCACTCCCCCTTCCAGGGTCTTAGGTCGTTACAAGGAATTAGCCTACTGGACTCGTCCCAAGGCGCAACCTTTTGACCGTCTATCCGTACAGTTGTTTTAGGCAGGAAGGCTTCTATTGTAGGCGTTTTCGACGTACGCTCTGGGACTTCCATCTTAATTCCATCCAATATCTCAAGGTAATACGAGCATCTAGGCAGCTTCTCCCTCCCAACCAGAATGCAGCATAGAGTTGCATAAGAGAACTACACTGCTTCCTTTCGCT